CTCCTATTTAGATGTCTAGAAAAGCTACATACAGCTGTGCAAATGCCTCTAACTATCAATCCCTTTATAAAGTGTTCTAACTTGACACATTCTTCCTCCTTGGTTTTCAGAAATTGGCTAAGCTGCTCTTCTGTGGCACCGAGTTGGTGACAAACATTCAGGTGGCTACTGATATCAAGGAGATCCAGCGGCGAGTGGAAGAAGAGGAGATAAAGCGTCAGCGGTAAGGAGCCCACCGCTGGCTCCCTGCATCCCTGAGCATCACGGGAAGGGGCGTTACCAAACGGAATTTTGTAGAATTCTCTTCCTGTGCCTAATGCATTGCCCCCTCTTTCTCGCTCCCCCCTGCTCCCTCTCCCCTTCTTTGAGTGTTGTAAGCTCCGTGGATGCAAGGAGGAGGGCAACACGGCTCTGGCTCTTGGAGCTCACAGTTTAGCTGAGGAGCCAGACATGGAAACAGACACCCCTGATCTGTTTCATAGTGAAGCTAAGTGTAACAAAACAAGCAAATCCACTGCCATCACGTGGGCATCGACTCATAGCAGCCGAAAGGATCGGGTAGAACTGCCCCTGTGAGTTTCTGAGACTGTCGCTCTTTAATGAAGTTGAGAGCCCTGTCTTCCTCCCGTGGAGCGGCTGCTGGTTTCTAACTGCAGTTAGCAGCCCAATGTGTAACCATTATGCCACCCAGGCTCCTTAAAGAAACGCGTAAGCCGTAAAGCCGTAAGGACCCATGGAAATACTCATGAGGGGGCCTTTGATTCCTTCTGGAGAGATTAGAGAAGACTTCCCGATCAAGGGCCTTTCCAGTTGGGCCCTAAACATGAACAGGAGTTTGAGGAGGGGGTATTTTAGACAGAGGGCACAGCTTGAGCCCAGGCGGGAGAGCCCGTGAGATGTGCTTAGCGATGGCTGTTTGTGGGAGGCGAGAGACGAGGCTGAGCAAGTAGATGGGGCTGTCCTCAGTTTAAGTTGATCAGAATGACCGGCCCCACAAACATCTTCGCATTCTGCCCAACTGTGGTAGTGTATCAAAGAATACTAAGGAAGCCACCGAGACAGATAGAGGCCCAGAGGCCTAATAGAAACCCAGGCCAAACCCTTACTTCCAGTCCTCAGAAGACAGCTGCCTGGCACACCACTCTGCCCAGGGCTTAGAGAGGTATAAGCTGCTTGTTGTTGATGAGTGCCCAATAAACACATGTGGGATTAATTGAAGGACGTTGGAGAGATAAACGACTAGGTGAGCCTCGCCTTTCTAGTTCTCCGGTCTCTTGCTTTCTGATGGTCAGACCAGTTGTGGCTGCCTTAGCCAGTTCCCTGCTTCAGCTTGCAAGGCTCACTTCCTGCGAGACATCCCTGAGGTGAAGCCACATGGACCTATCCTAATGCAGCCCTGGGTGCTGGAGCAGCCGCATGGAGACCCCTGCCAGCGCTGACATGCTTACACGCTCACTGATTCGACTTTCCTCCTGCAGTCGGCGTCATTGTGTGTGTTTTGTGCGACTGAGGAGGACTCTGTAGATTGGTGTTGGACATATGGGCTAATGTTGGACTCATGGGCTTGGACTAGCACTGTGATGGGATGCTTTTTGAATGTACACTTACCCTTTATATAAAACTCTCTTACACATATATGAGTTTCTGTGGATTGCTTTCCCTTGTCTACCCAGATTATGGTGTTAGTCTGGGTAGACTAGAGAAACACATCCACAGAAACGCATATATATACAAGAGGAAAGTGCTGTTCTAACTTGAGACCTGAGAACCAGAAAGGCGAGGCTCACCTGAGCCATTTATCTCTCCGCCCTTCAGTTAACCCTACTTGTGTTTATCGGCTGGGTCGGCACAATAAACCCTAACTGTCTCAGTGCCCTTGAGTGGGTTCGGGCTCATAGCAGCCCCACATGACAGAGAGAACCGCCTTGCTGGCAGCAGCGAGAAGGAGGAGGGCCCTCAAGGAGATGGGCTGACCATGGGCTCAGGCACAGGGATGATTGTGAAGATGCCTAGGACCGGGCAGTGTTTTGTTCTGCTGTGGATGGGATGGGGTCCCTCTGGGTGGTACCTGACCCTGCGGCATCTAACAACAACAACAACAACAACAACAACAACAACAACCATCTTTCCAGGGACAGATTGTCAGGCCTTTCTTCTGCAAAGGTGCTGGTGGGTTTGAACCACCAGCCTTCCGCTCAATAGTGCTTCCCCATTGTGTCACGGGCCCCTTGTAAGCAGCTCAGCTGGGTTAAAGGACTTGAGCGCGCACACAAGGGACTGAGATCAGCAGGAGCAGGGTCCTCCTTTAAATTCTTGTTTTGGTTTATTCTTCCGCTTCTTAGAAGCAGTTCAAGGAGAAGAGCAACCTTTGTGCTGCTGTGGCCCACAGCATGCCCCCCCACAGCACTGTTTTAACAGCAGGGCTTTCAGCTTGGCGCAGCACGAGCAGTTGCAAGTTCACCCGACTCCTTTAGAAACGTCCTCCTGCCTGTGATAGAAACACCAGGAACTGGGCTGACTGGTCCCCAGCAGGGTCAGCCGGGGGCAGGCCTCCACTGCCATGCTAAGAACATAGGGCTCAATTCTATCACAGTCAGGAAAATGGTGGCAGACACAGCTATACCCTTCCACTATTCAGTCAACCATCCAGTCTCCTTCACGCATGCCTCTTCTTGCTCGGTGCCTCTTCTCTGATTTGGTATCAGTTACTTATCATCAAGCATTAGACCTAAAGATGTCCCCGTGTCCAGTCTGGATTGGGGGTGGGGTGCGTGTGTCGGAAGGTAGTGCAGGGGTCCCTAGGGGCTGTATTACAGACTCTAGACATCCTTCCTCATCTACTGGAGAGCCTTGGCATCTCCCACTGGACCGGGGTGGCTGACATGCTTGTCTTTGCAGACTGGAGAAACTGGAGAATGAAGTGAAGACCAGTCAGGACAAATTTGACGAAATCACCTCCAAATGGGAGGAAGGCAAAAAGAAGAAGATCCCCCAGGAGCTGTGGGACATGCTGAACACCCAGCAGCTGCACTGCGCTGGGCTGATCGAGGATAAGAACAAGCTCATCAACGAGTTACAACAGGCAAGAGGCCCCTGGCTCCCCAAACTCTCGCCACAGCCATGGAATTGGGCTGGGGGATTGAATGGGGCCAGTGGCTGACTTCTTCCGAAGGGAAACATGTGGAGGGATGGCTTCCTTACTCAAAATGCTGCATACGCCAAGTGATAAACAGCTCCCCCAGGCCCCCTCCCCCGAAAAAATTAGTTATTTTGTTGTTGTGGAGAACACAACAAAACACACCAATCCACTACTTTCCACAAATACAATTAAAAAAAAATAATTTTCTTGGGGGCTCTTACAGCTCTTATCACAATCCATCCATCCATCTGTGTGTCCACAAATACAATTTCATAACGACGACAATATTCTTGGAGTTGTGCAGCCACTTCACCCTCCTGTCCTCCTCTGTTAGCAGAAACACACTGCCTTCCCAGGCTCCTGGACAGTCTTGCCAGGCCATCCCACCTGGAGGTGGCTCTGACTCATCGTGACCCCATGAGGATTGTTCTTAAAACAGCAGCATGATCAAGGTTAATCTTTTTTTCCCCCCACTAGTTAAGCTCAAGTATTGGTCACTTTTTGTTCAGTGTTGGGCTCTAACCAGAAGGTTGTTCGTCGGAACCCACTAGCTAGTGTGTGTGAGAAAGGCAAGGTCATTTGCCTCCATGAAAGATGTATAGCCTTGGAAACCCCATGGAGCTGTTCCCTGCCTTATAGGCTTCTGTGAAATAGAATAGAGGCTGCAGCAGTTGAGTTTGGTTTTTGGTTTGGCTTTAGGATGACGTCAGGGCATAGCCGTGATTTGTGGTTTAAAGGAGAATTCAGGGTAATTATTTTTTTTGGAGTTCATTCATCCTCAGTGGCTCTAGAAAGTCTGAAGTCCATGAGAATTTGAAAATCTGTTCTGCATCTTCCCTCTTTTGATCAGGGTTCTTCTGTGGAATCTTTGGATGGATCGCAATGTTCAGTAATGGTAGCTGAGCACCACCCAATGCTTCTGGTCTCTCGGTACAGGAGGCCATTGTTCATGGGGGCCGTTAGCCACACATCCCATATCCGTTTCCTATGCCTGACTCTCCTTCTTCCTCGGTTTCTCCCTGTGAACTAGATCCATGGTTGTGCCCTAGACGGCCACTAGTAAGTTTTATGACTTCAGGCACGACCCGAGAAACTGGGAGGTTGAACAAAAGTACTAAGCTCATTGTTGTTGTGCGAGGTGTAGTTGAGTGGTGAGATAGTTAGTTTATTGTGCCAGCCTGGCCGATAAACACAAGTGGAATTAATTGAAGGGTGGAGAGATAAATGGCTCGGTGAGCCTCGCCTTTCTTGTCTCTCGCTCTTTGATCATCGGACCAGTGTGCGGCTGCCTTGCTTGTCCTGTGCCTCAATTTAGAGGCTACACTACCTGTGGGACGCCTAGCCTGTGGACTGTGTCGCTGTAAGTTGAGGTCCCTTTACAGACCACACGATTGAAATTTACATCTCTTGAGCTGGGGACTGACAGGTGGTGACCTGGCTGACAGTGGTGACCTGCCTTGCTATTTTGCTGCCTGTGCTGGGATAGCCGAGCTCTCTCCACAAAGGACATCGTGGTGGCCCTCAGGACTCAAAGGACTGCCAGGGTCTCACAACTCTCTCTCACGGGAGTGAGTTGCACTGAGCCATTTCTACTGCTTATAATTTAACTGTTCATTTCTTGTATTATATATCTATCTGTATATGATTTAACAGTTCATTTCTTGTGTTATATATTTATCTATCTTTATAAAAAATATATATATATAATTACTAGCAATCTGGTTTTGTCTCTCTAGAGAACCCTGTATAACACAAGTGGGTTCCAACTTGTAGCAACTGCATGTCCAACAGAACAAAGCACTACAGGGCCTGTGCTAGCCATAGAATTTTTGTTATGTTTGAGTCCATTGTGCCAGCCACTGTGCCAAACCCCCCTCCTCCAGGGTCCTTCCTCTTTTCACCGGGTCTCTCCTTGATCAAACATCATGTCCTTTCCCGAGGACTGGTTTCTCCTGGTAACCTGCCCCAAAGTCTGGGAAATGGAGCCTCAAGTCTCACCCTCCTGGCTATTAAGGAGGAGCTTGGTTGCATTTCAACCAAGGCAGATTTTTTTTTGTACAGTACATTGTATTTTCAATATTATTCACAACACCATAGTTGCCATGCAACGTTCTCTGGTCTTCCCTATTTGATGTCTGGCTGTCACATGCTGTGTCAGTTTGGTACATTAGAGAAACAAATCCACAGAAACTCATATGTATAAGAGAGTTTTAGATAAAGGGTAAGTACACATCAAGAAAACATCCCAACCCAGTGCTGCCCAAGCCCACAAGTCCAACATTAACCCATATGTCTGATACCAATCCACAAAGTCCTCCTCCATCTCACAAAACACAAACAATGATGCCAACTACAGGAGGATAGCCGGATCAATGAATGTGTAAGCATCTCAGCCCTGGCAGGGGTCTCCACATGGCTGTTCCAGCACGCAGGGCTGCACTGGGGTAGGTCCATGTGGCTTCTCCTCAGGGATGTCTTGCAGGAAGTGAGCCTTGCTAGCTGAAGCGGGGAACTGGCTAAGGCAGCTGCACCCTGGTCCAACCATCAGAGAGCAAGAGACCCGAGAACTAGAAAGGCGAGGTTCACCTAGCCATTTATCTCTTAAGCACCCTTTAATTAACCGCACATAAGTTTATCGGCCAGGTTGGCACAGTAAACTTTAACTATCTCACATGCATATGAGGCATTGGAAATACTACTCTGGTTTGGGTCAGGTGCACCTTAGTCCTCGAAGGGATCTCTTGGCTCTTTAACTCTCCAGAGAGGTCTTGTGCAGTAGGTTTGTACAAGGCAATACATCCCTTGATACCTTGACTGCTGCTTCCACGAGCACTGATGGTGGAGCCAAGTAAAATGAAATCGGTGGGAACGTCAGTCTTCTCTCTGTTTGTCCTGATGTTTCCTGTGGATCCGGTTGTGGAGGATTTCTGTTTTCTTTACATTGACTCGTAATCCATACTGAAGGCGGAAATCTTTGATCCTTATCAGTAAGTACTTCCAAGATCTCTTCACTTTTAGCAAGCGGAGGGTTTGTCACCTGCATGTTGCAGATGGCTCGTGAGCCGACTTTTCATCTTGCTGCTGCCGCCCCAGCTTGTGGAAACCTGTCACGTGGTATTCCGTCCGTTCCTGGGACCTTGTGTTTTGCTAATGCCTTTAGTGCAGCGTGGCCTCCTTCCTTCAATACCACCAGTTGCTGACTATATACTGCCCCCATAAGTGATGGCATGTGGACCATCTCTTTTTGGTACAGTGACTCTGTGTGACCCTTCCATCCTCTTTGGATATGTCCTGCATTGTTCAACATTTGGTCCATGGGCTCTTTTGACATCACAACTCGAGGCTGGAAGTTTTTCTTGTACTCTCTCATCCCGAGGGACGCTAAGCCTGTCTCTCCTACTGGTGTCCTAACCCCAGACCTTTGCATGTTGCATTATCGTACTTGACTTGACCTTCTGGAGCTGCCCTTTGAAATGGTCTACTCAGCGTTTTAACGTCCCCTTTCCTTCCATTGATTTTTTTTTAAAAACATTTTATTAGGGGCTCATACAACTGTTATCCCAATCCATACACACATCAATTGTGTAAAGCGTATTTGTACATCATTTCTCAAAACATTTTCTCTCCATTTAAACTCCCGACATTAGGTCCTCATTTTTCCCCTCCCTCCCCGCTCCCCCCTCCCACATGAGCCCTTGATAGTTTATAAATGGGTATTTTGTCATATCTTGCCCTGTCCGACTTCTCCCTTCATCCACTTTTTGGTTGTCTGTCCCCCAGGGAGGAGGTCACACACAGTTCCATGTAATCGGTTCCCTCTTTCCTACCCATTCTCCCTTTACCCTCCCTGTTTTGCCACTCACACCACTGGTCCTATAGGGCTCATCCATCCTGGATTCCCTGTATTTTCAGTTCCTATCTGTACCAGTGTACCTCCTCTGGTCTAGCCAGTCTTGCAAGATCGAATTCGAGTCATGGTAGTGGGAGCGGGGAGGAAACCTTTAGGAACTAGAGGAAGGTTGTATTTCTCATCATTGTTACATCGCACCCTGACTGGCTCATCTCCTCCCCGAGACCCCTCTGCAAGGGGATCTCCAGTGGCCTACTAATGGGCTTTGGATCTCCACTCCACACTCCTTCCATTGATTTTAACCACACTAGATTCAAGAACAAGCTTCAGAGTCTCTTCTGACATCCACTTTGGTCATTTCTGCCCCCCCTTTCCTGTCTTCTAAATGACTTCTTTGCTTTGTTCAAGTTGGTTGTTCTTTATTTTATCCCATGACTCATGTGGTCTTCAGTCATTAGTGTTCAGTGATTCAAATCTATGTTTGAGACTTTCTCTAAATTCTGGTGGGATGTACTCGAGGCCTTATTTTGACTCTTGTTTTAATTTTGCCCCCAGCTCCAACCTAAACTCATAGATGAGCAATTAACCGTCTGATCCAAGAGTGGACAGCTAGCCCGATTTTGACTGGTAATTTTGAGCTTTCCCCAGATCTGTTTGCATAAATGTAATCAATGTGATTATTGTGGACTCGTCCCTTCCTTGTGGCCCTTCTGTGAGGGGGTGTCTGCAGATGGGCGTTTTGAGGCCCCACCTCTCTGTGTTCTTCAATGGAGGTTCCTCTCACGGTGGTTTTAGTTTATATCGCTCTGCTGACGGAAGCACTATGCTTTTAACCAGAAGCCACAACAAAGCAAAACAAACAAAGCAAAACCCAACAACTTTGTAGCTCTGTTAGAATTATTGGCTACTTAATAGCGAAACGACTCTTGCAAAATGCTGCTTCAGATGTTCACATGGTCAGCGAAGACTGGAATTGCGTCTGCAGTGGGTATTGTGCCCTTGTGTGGGAACCTAGACATTCATGGCTCAGAGGGTCCCCTTAGGCTTTCTGGGATCTTGCAGGGTGATTCCTAGGCGGTGGCCATTGAGGAGTTGGATCCTGTGCGGTTTGTTTAGAGCTTTGTGCGGCACTGAGCACCTTCTCTTGATTCCCCCCTTCCAGATTTAATCCTTAGTGGTTTCGGTTTCTGACCAGAAAGACCCAAGTGGAGCAGGCTCCATACCTCCTGCTTCTGTCCCAGTTCATGAGCGACCTTTTGCATGTTCTTTTCCAGGAGCTAAAAACCAAGGATGACCAGTACGTGAAGGATTTAAAGAAGCAGGCCGATGACATCTGCCTGCTGCTGGAGAGGATAGAAGAACAAGTCAAGAGTGTGATGAAGACCTTCCGCCAGGAGCTTGCGCACATTGAGGTGACCCGTACACAAAGACCACTTTCTGCTCTTGGCAGGGAGGCCAGGTCTGGCCCAAGGGTCCAATAAGGGTCCTAAGAGGTTTGGCTCCTCGGCTTGCTGTCTCTGTTCTAGGTTGTCATTCATTTATTCACGATTCATCAATAACAACGACATCCCAGGTGCTGTCCCAGTGGCTTAGGGTACAGCCACAGATGAAACAATGTCCCTGTACTCTGGAGCCTGTATTCTAGAGGCTAATCTATGGGCAGCGAGACAACAGACCAATCAATCTCTAAGTACACAATTTGAAGATAGTCAGGAGAGTGGGGCCTCTTCCTCTGACTTGTTATAGATTCCCTACTCTTCGGCTTCTTGGGAGCCCCAAACATGGTCATGCAATGGCTCTCATTGGAGATGAACATGCTCACCATGACTTCCCCCGTGGTGCATCGAGTTAAGCATTGGACTGCTACCTGTAGGATAGGTGATTTAAACCCACCGGCCACTTCACAGGAGAAAGGTGAGGCTCTCTGCTCCCAGAAAGATTTACAGCCTCGGAAACCCTACGGAGGAGTTCTACTCTGTTCTATGGGGCCTACTTCGACTCGACGGCACTCGTTTGGGCCAACAAGGGATACTGACCTATCTTCAGTTCCCTCCCTGCCTCTGACACTAACTAAGCCATGGGTCTGTTGGCACATTTCCTCTTTACATTAATGTTGTCGACTTCATACTTCAGACTGATAGACTTCCCGATACCTAAACTCCCTAGCCTTAACTCAGTCACATGAGCCTCGGCAAGCCTGCATGGGAATTGGACTTTGTGTGTTGACGACAAGGCACTTGCCCTGCTAGCTAAGACTCCTTTACTGCCACTGAGACCTGCCTGATAAAAAACGGTCTCTCCTTCTTGATTTCAGAAAGCATTTGAGATAGAACGACAGGAGCTCCTGGCCAACAATAAGAAGAAATGGGAGCGGGCGCTGCAGGCTCACAATGCCAAAGAGGTAAAGTGGGGGGTGGCAGAGGGGCGTAAATAGGCTTCCGAAGCCAGGGTGGTTTCTACTGTGACTGAATTTGCTCTGCCCCTTTGTCCCTTGGGCAGGATCACCACGGCATACATTTAATGCCACACTTCCTGGTGAGCCAGCCTTGCAGACCGAGGTTGGCTTGGTGGGTCCCTGTGGCTCACCCCATTCTGTCCTCCTCTCCTGTGTTTCTCGGTCAGCTGCCCCAGCCCAAGAAGGATGTTTTTAGGGGGCTTGGGGGCTTTTCACCTCCTTGCAGACATGTAGCGGGCAAAACAGTGACCTGACCAGAATCCAACACCTCATTCAGAAATGAGCCCGCTTGCTCTTTCTCCGTGGCACGCTCCACGTGGTTTGAAGACGTGCTACGAGCTGTGACCCAGGGATTCAAAGTCTGGGGAGGGGCTCCCGCGAGCAGTCAGACGCCCTCTGGAGTTTGAAACCTTCAAACCCTCCCCAGGGTCAGGCTGGCCAGGCCCTGAAGGGTGGAGGGGGCCCGTAGCGACTCCCCCGTGTCCTCTGGGCCCTCAGCTGGAGTACCTCGTCAGCCGCATTAAGAAAGTGGAGGAATACGAGAGGCAGCTGAACAAGCAGCGCATCTGGGACTGCGAGGAGTACCACATGATCAAGATCAAGCTGGAGCAGGACGTGCAGGTAGGACAGCTGCCCCACGCTTGGGCATCCGGGTGGCAGAGCAGGTGGATGGCCAGCACCTGGGAAGGTGTCGTCCCGAGGGACCACCCCCGACGCTCTGGTGTGGGTCCCCTCACACAAGTATTTATGACTTCTTAGTTTTACACGTTCCTACCTAGAGGAGCTCATGGACAGAGACACGTGGAGAAATGCTCTCCTTAGAACACCAGTAAAATTCCCACGAGACCCACTGCCATTGAGTCAAAGTTCAATGGAAGCAACCCTCGAATAGGGTTTCTGAGGCTGTAAATCTTTGGGGGTGGGGAGCAGAAAGCCTCATCTTTCTCTGGCTGGTGGGTTTGCCCTGCTGACATCGTAGACAGCAAGCCAGTGCTTAGGGTCTGGGACCCTATGGCATGTAAGGAGTAGCGGAAGGACTGTGCGTTATAGCCTGGCAAAGGGCATGTCTTAAGGGAATTTTAACTGCATCCGAGGGTCGAAGCTAGAACTACTGCTACTAATAGGTGCTTTCTAATGAGTATCTACCTTAATCCATGCACTTAACACACAATAGCCTCACTGTACCATGAAAGCCAGATACCACTTACAGCATCTTATAGGAAACTGAGGCCCTGGGACAGGAATGTTTGTCTTGCAAGTAGTAGACCCTGGGTGCAAACCTCGGTGCGCTTGGGTCAAAAGCTTTCCAGTTGTCTTTGTTATCTAGTGTTGTAACAGAAACACTGCCACAGACAGCAATGTATTCTCTTACAGTTTAGCCCATTCAAGGTCCCATTCACAGCTTCCTCCCTGTGCTGGTTTGGAGGAAGGTCCTTGTCGCTTTTCAGCATTGGTGGGCCTGACATTCCTTGGGGCTCTCTACATATATTGGTATCAATTTTCCCCTGAGTCTGGAGGTTCTGGATCCAAAGGACATACTCTGCTCGGCACTTCTTTCTTGGTGGTAATCAGGTCACTGTGATTCCTGCTTGCTTCACTAATCCTTTTATAGCTAAAAAGAGATTGACTCAAAATTCAGCCTAATCCTGTCGAGTTTATCCTGACTCATGAACATAACTCCCTCTGATTATGCCTCATTACCATGATAGAGGTTAGGACTCACAACACATCACGGAATGGATGATAATCTCACCATGTTGAGGATTCTGGGGAGGCAAGTTGACACAGATTTTAAGGGACACAATGCAACCCATGACATCAGGCTTCCAAACAGTCCACTGACTGATGCTTGGAAATTTGCCATAAGGAAGTTTCTGACTCATCAGCAGAAAGAACCTTCCATGAGAGCTATCCAGCAATCAAAAAGGGTTGTCCCACAAAACAAAGAGCCCTTTATCTCATTAAGTATTCAAAGGCTGACTCATGGGCTCTCTTCATTGTCGAAGAGGAATGCCTGCAGTGGGATGGAGATTAGACTTTCTGGTTTCTAAAATCCTTGCCAAGTCTGGACTCTGTGTTTCGTGCCAGTTAAAGAAAAGCATCTCTTTCTACCGTGAGATGTAATTGCATCGTAATGTTCAGGCACGGACTGTTCTTTTTACACTCTGCCTAGATAAATGGGCCAGGTTAAAACTTCCCACGTGGCCTTTGGTAGAATGTCAGTTCGTCCTTCTCCTGTAGCTTTATATCAGTAGGTTAAATTAAAAACCTCCACGAGACTACAGATTTTACCAATCTTGCAAAGTGCCCCAGACCCATCTCAAGTCTCTGTATGGAGATGAGAGCTACCAACAAAGAACAGTGGAAGCCCGCAGAAGCGCAGTCCCACTGGTGTGGGCTTTACAGATGTGATTTTAATGAAAACGATGATTGTTGGGCATCCTGATTTTATTTTCTTCCCCCCAACTTGTCTTGCTAATTAATGATAATGAAATAATAATAATGATAATTAATGATAATGAACTTACTGTTGGTCTCAAACCATAACATATGTAGAATTTCATACTCTTAACCCATGTCCAGACACCAGAACAAAACAAAATGCTTCAACCTTGGGAGATCATGTTGTGAAAGGGGGCTAGTGGTAAGATTAGGGAGGTGAGGGACTGGAGGCAGAGAGACTAGGCCACCCAAGGTTGAATAGCACACATCATACGATTGCTTGCTGTAGATTCTGTCCTCAGAAACGCATTGCTGTTACTTCTCTCAGTGCATGACCAGCCCTGCTGGCAACTCTGATGTGGTATTATGAACATGAAGCAAATATGAGGTTATGTTAGGTTTCTTGGGTGAGAAATACCTCGGTCCTTGGCTTTGCACGAGAAAGAATATTCACACTGAAGCCTGGTTTGTGATCCAAGTGGGTTTTTATATAGGACCGAAGCCGTTTAAGGCATTACAGTAAACTGAATACAAGCCAGAGGGAGAGAGACCACAGCCCAGGCTGCGCAGGACTGTGGAGAAGCAACTGGAAAAGAGCTCACGGTCTCCTGCTTCCAGCATTTTGGGTGCCTTCCGCTGGGAAGTGTGGTCTAAGGTGCTGGTTGACCCCATTGGCTGAATTAAGCCCACCTGGCCTAGATGGGGGCCCACCCGGGTGTACCCAGTCTTCGTGGTTCGAGGGCCTGAATTTGTGCATACCCTCTAGCCATTATGGGGTTCCAACTTCCTGTAAGGAGGGGAGAGGGAGGCCTTGGCATGTAGAGGGACAACCCCTGGTTTCTGCCTCTAGCTACCTAACAGAGACATAACTCTTCTACCTTGCAAATGTTTTATTGAAAAGATCTGACCCACGCTCTGTTAGAAAATGTCAGAAGATTCAATGGAAGGAATAATTGCATTTTCTAACACAGAGTCATGTGTCATCCTACAATAAAATGTGAATGAAGTGTGCCCTCCCCTGTGAGAGAGCCCAGGGGAAAGCGCACTGCCAGTGAGTCTAGGCTGATGTATGGTGACGCTGTAAGACAGAGGAGCAGGAGATAGCCTCGGCTTTCTCCCAGGGACTGGCTGGGAGGTTCCAAGTGCTGTCTTTGCTGTGAGCCCAACGTGTAAGCCACCACCCCACCAGTGCTTCCTGCGGGAGAAGCAGTCTGTCTTCATTTGGTCAAGCAAACAAAGGGAAATGGGTTTACAGTCAAGGGAAGTGTGGGGAGGGCGGAAATTTTACCATGAGTTGTCAAGTCATAAACTTTCTTTTTATATATATATATCCCTGGTCCATGATAGAGTCAGCATTATCAACTTCTTGAGAAATAATGTAAGTGACCTCCATGGGATATTCAGTAATTCTAATAATAATATCATTAATCTAGCCAAAGAATATAGAATTTGGAATAGTAGTTCAAAGTTTTCTATACATATAAAGAACATTTTTTAGACTGAAATACATGAATGTTCAGTTATTCAGATTAAAAACTTGAGTGACTGAATATTGCTAAGAAAACAATATGAGGGTTAAACACCAGGGAAAAATTTCAATAATGCTCATTCACTAAGGCAAAACTATGCAGAAATAAGGCATGTCACAAGAAGTGATGGAAATATGAAAATAGCAAGTATTTGTGGGTCTTAACCTGCCAATTATTGGGGTGCAAACATTTTGATATGGGGGTTTTACAAATTGGATGCAGATCAGGTCAATTCTAGTTGAAGTCCTTGAAATGTCAAAGTTGATTCATTTGATTAAGAAGAGGACAAAGTGAGATAAGCTCTAATCTAAGGATTTCAAAATGCAAAAACATTGCCTCACCAGCTAGAGGGGAAGTGAGGATGGCTGAGGTACTCCATCTCATGATTTATGGAGCAGTTAAAAAAAATAACCTTTATTAAAGTTGGACATTGAATAAGAAAGACCGAAGAAGAATGATGCATTTGAATTACGATGCTGGCAAAGAATATGGAGAGTGACATGGGCTGCCAGAAGAACCAGCAACTCTGTCCTTGAGGAAGCACAGCCAGAATGATGCTCAGACGTTAGGATG